GTGTGTGTGTGTGTGTGTGTGCTCACATTGATCTGTTGTGTGCATGTGACAACCAGAGCACTGACTGGGAGATGAAACAATATAAGATGGATGAGTGTGTTTGATGGAAAACGGAACGACCACTGTTAAAAAACTTCAATGCAGGTGTAGGATGAGATAAAGACAAGAGGAGAGAAGAGAAGAAGAAAGAAAAGGAACAGAAGGTCTAACTTTGCCTCGCTGTGGTGCTTCTGAATTCTAGTTGGGAGTTTCAGCAAAAACATTTTCCTTTGGGAAAGGACGGCCCCGCAACACAAGTGGTTTTGTGGCTAAAAATGTGACTCAGAACAAAACTGCTTTAATTTAGAAGAAATCCCTTTAACCCTTTGCTAAACTTGCTCCAACATGGATTCCAGGGAACACAGCAACACGTCTTTAAGCAAAGAGTCAGACCTTTATGAATGTGATCAAACAAAAGGAATATATATGTAATGAGGGGGAATAGAACGAGAGTGGAAAAGTGAGAATGCTGCTCACTTGGTTGTCGCCTGGGAGGCGGGGCATGGAAGCGGCCCTGCCGTGGCCTTCCATTGGTGGAAAGTGCTCAGTATCCGAGTAACCATCCTGCCCCATCTCTCTCATCTCTACCGTCTGCAAACAGAGCAGGAGAGCAGGAGATGGTGTGACTGGCTGCCATGAAAACTGATAGGGGAGCAGGGGGTGGGGGAAAGTTTGTTATCCAAAGAAAGCTCAGGTCTCAGAGAGGAAGAAGCAGTCAGAGGGAGAATCTGATGAGAGAGAGAGAGAGTGTGTGTGTGTGTGTGTGTGTGTGTGTGTGTGTGTGTGAGTGTGAGTGTGTGTGTGTGTGTGTGTGTGTGTGGTGAGTGACTTTGCCACTTTCTTTGTTGTTTTGGTTTTAAATTGTGGGATGAATGAAATGTGGATAAGACTGAGAGTATTTTCCAAACAAAATCTGTTTGTGTGTTTGCTGTCAAACACTGAGCAGCCAGCGAATACTGGCACAGGAAGGTGGAGACTCTCTGTTTATACCAGATGGAGCTTGTGAGTCAGAGCAGGAACGGATTTGAGAGGAAAATCATATGCAGCTCAGACAATGTGTGAAAAAAAGACATCTGATCAGCAGAGGTGGGATGTAACAAAGTACTTCATTACTTAAGTACATTTTTCAGTATCTTTACTATACTTATGTAGATTTATTTTCACTTTCCATCCACTACAAATATCAGCAAGTATCTGTACTCTCTACTCCTCTACATTTTTACAATATATTTCTTCACATTGTTTTTCTATATCTGTAAAAGTTCAGATCAGTAATGAGAGGGGAACTGGCGGTGAGACCACACCACGAGACTAGTGGACTGTTGGAGAGGAGGATACTCGAAAATAACTTTGAGTGCTTTACATATATTAAGTACTTAAAAATAATATAAAAAGTTAACCAAGTACATTTTCGTCTATTTATTTGTACTTTTACAATAATACTTCCTCCACCATTTCTGATCAGATGTTGTTGGCACTTGCACATTGTGCGTTTTAACTGAGGTTGTGTAAAATGTTTTGGTCAGAACTATAGTCTGTTTCAATCGCCAATCAGCAAGTCTTCATTTCTCCTGTAGGTTTGGTTTCCAGCTCCAAATGTGCAAGACGGCAGCGTTCGCATGTGGGATATGTTAGCTTCATTTCTGAATAGTGGGAGAAAGTGGAGGCGCATCGTCCATCTTTATAAACAGTAAGGTAAGAGGCAGTGCCAGCTACTTCAGCAGGTACATTTTTACATTTATTTAAATGCTCGCTTGCAACATGTGCTGACTGCTCATTGACTGCCGTCTCATTTCAGGGTTGTGTTGTCTCATATTGCCTGATGTTCTTATGATTCGATTTGCCTTCCATCTAACTGGTTTGCATGAAGCCCACAGCCACTCTCTTCTATCCAACTTTTAAACTTCTCTCGACCTCTGTTGACTGATATGGAGAAGTGTTATTGCGTTGACTGATACAGGGACCTGTCAGCCGCTGGAGGAGGTCTACAAGCAGAGAGGTTTAACGACATGAAGACGGACACATGAACCGCAAGACAGACTCCGAATGAAATGAGCAAACTCACGGTGAAGGAAAACTTCACTCAGATAGAAAATTGCGTTTAAAAAAAAATGTCTGAGAGATGGAGCCAGTCAAAGAATGGTCAACGCTATATCACTGGGAACTTAAGAATCGAGGTAAGACAGATTGCATTAAAATGATCGACGAGGCAACAAGGCAGGACAGATGAGAGCGCATGAGCTCGGAACTTCTCTATTTTGTGCCTTGGAGAGATAGTTGTCCAGTCCATTTTTAGCTTGAACAAATATCTTTGCCCTGTTCAGACCTGGTATTAACATCTGATGGTGTCTCCTGTGATCACTTGTAATCACATCTCACTTCCCTGCTCAACGTGCAAATAAACACGCATGACATTTGTGTTCATGAAGACCAAATAATGTCGTTTTTACACAGTCCCGAGTTTACAGGTGTGTCCAATGACAATGTCTGTGCATGTTGGTGTGTGCTTGTGTCTTTTGAGCAAAAGAGAGAGAGCAAACGGAGTTAAGAGGGGCTGAATGAATCAATGAGGCATTGGCAGCTCTGCTATGAGGAAAGATTTTACTTTCTATCCATCGTGAAAATGTAGGAGGTCAGAGGACGTCCTTCGTATGTGGCCCAGGACACATTTGCGCTTGCACAGTGAAATAAATGTGACCACGTGTCTCAGACGGCCTCTGAATGTGGATCTCAGGACGCATCAAGGGTGCGTTTGGATGCGTTCAAACCCGACCACTTGCGATCGGATCCCTCTGGATGGATGTTCATACCAGATTTGAATGGAGTCTTGTTTACTGGAGAGAAGCTTCAGATTACACAGCACATGAAGGAAGTTGTTTGTTCTCACACTGACCAGGGTAACCTCAAGTTTATGTGTAGGATACCATTGATGATGTTGATTTGACAAGAAGGGACTGAGAAGCAAGAATCAAGTGGATGCCCTGATCAACAACAGGCTGCTGCGTTTCTATTTTAACCTCAGTTATAATGAACCAAAACAAACGTGATGTCTCTGTGACTTCACCTGATTCAGGAGTTTAGTGAATAACACAAACTCTGCTCTCCATAGAAGTGGAGACACAATCTGTATCACACTTCATTTTACCTTCAGTGTCCTCAGCTCCGCTTTGCTCTGGTTCATTTGGTAGCAATGACATGAAAGTCAAAACAAATGTTGAATGGATCGAGTGTTTGTACTTGTTCACAAAAACGACAAGGATGTTTTCATGTATGTTGTCTGTATAGTGTGTCTGGGTGTGATGGTGTGTGTGTGGTCCTAGGTGTGTGTGTGTGTGTGTGAGAGCTGTCTACCTGAGAGTTGCTCATGCTTCCCAGGCCATCCTCAGGGTGTCCCTCTGGGCTCCAGCTGCCAACTTTCTGGGACATCTCCTGAGCACGGGCTGTCACCCATGAATGGCTCTCCGGGACCCCCCCCTCCACTGGCCTATGGCGCGCACGCACACACACACACACACACGTTCTATAACTGGTCTGCTTTCAACGGAGCACCTCCTGTGACGTCAAACACACAAACAACATTCAACTCACAGGCTGTTTACAGTCGTCTCAGGTGGAGGGAGGGCGTTGTTAAGTCCCGGGCCCCCATCCTGGGTGGGGGAAGGAGGTTCCACGCGCTGAAACAGTAATGGCGTTCGATTCTGTGTGAGATATACAACATGGCCGTCGCCAGCTATCAGGCAGACTGACAGGGAAATGGGAAGGAAAAGATGCAGAGCAGGAGCAGAGGGGACGTAGAAAAGGGGGCTGTCGGCTGAAGTGAGACAAAAGAAGTGAGGTGAGGGGTCTCGGATGCCCAGCAGCTGGCTGGAGGAGGAGATGGGTGCATTCTGGGACATAACAGTCCTATCTCTCTGGATCCAGAACTCTTAACCATTAGAGGCCCTTATACTGAAAAGCCCAAACAGGAATTCACCCACTCAGTAGCTCAGGATCCGATGGATAGGAATGATCAGTAATTTTTCTGGATTTCATGTGATGATCAATTGTCATCTGATGATGGATTTAAATACTGTGATGTTGATGTAGAAAGTTGAAGAAAATACATTTCAGTGAAACTGGAAGTAAAGAAGAGGGGAGCGGTAAGAGAGGGGCCTCGTTCAGAAGAGGGATAGAGAACATTGTGGCAGAAAAACACTGCACAAACCCTGTGGAAGGGAACATATACCTGGTGAAATGCATGATGGGACAAGTCAAATATGAAACTTTGCATTCAGCCATACAATTATTTGTCATACACTTAAGATGTTGCAACTGTAACACCTAATAACAACCTCTCCCCACTTTAATGTGCTCATAAACGTGTTAAACATGCAAGTTGGATAAAAAAAGCACCAACAAATTAAATCTTTCACAGTCTAATTTCCCAATTTTTGAGCTTTGTGAATTTAAAAACAAGTAATTTCCTTGTTTCAAATCCAAACGGTGGGAAACCTCCTAAATCCATGTGTGCAAGATCAAAATATGATGTCACACTTTTATTAAAGGGGGCGGTGTGCAGACAGAAGGTTGCGGTGCTATCGTGATGCAAATCTAACATTCCTGGGTCACAAGCTTGGAGTATGGGGAGTGAGAAGGTAAAGGTGTCTTCACAAGCGGTCGAGACGAGAGGGCCGAAGGTTTCCATGATGTTGAGGCATGGGCACCTTAAGGACTGTGACAACATCTCAGCCTGCTTGAAAATACAATATAAACTGGTAAAATATGCACATTAACTTAAACCAACTCCTGTATTATTGTTGTATTGAGTATAAATTACGTTTTTGTCTGCTCAGAGCTAAAGTTACTGTAAATGAATAAGTGACAAACTGTGTCCAGCAGATGGCAGCATTGATTCTGCTGTTGGTCAAGAAGCCTTGCATGAGGGAGCAGATTGTGAAGTTTTTATTTTCACCTCCTGTTTGGACTTTTCTATGTGACTGAATGAAGACTCCTCCCTGATCTACAGGAGTTGTCACAGCCCAGGCTCGTATGAATGGGGGCAGCAGCCCTGCAGCCTTGATTTCAGTGCGTCAGTCTGCCTTTAAAAGGGTCGGATGCAGGTCGAGTGGAGGCTTATTCTGCCTGAAGACGACAATACCTGCTCATCACGAAGAGCCTGCGAGCGCTTGATCTTGCTCTGGCGGTAGTACTCCATGATCATCATGGCAGCGTAGATTTTCCCCACTGTCAGGTCTGTCGCTGCTGAGAGAATGACAAGTTACCCTGCAAGATTAGACCCTTTGGTATGGACCCTGAGCGCAAGGAATGGCAGAGAGGGGTGATGCGTGCACACAGGAAAACACTCACTCTCACACACAGATCTCACATACACATGAACATTGAGCAAAAGGTCTTTTCACAGACAGATTGATATTTTTTAAAAATCTTAAGTCACTTATTTTTTCTTTTCTTTTTTTTTTTTAAAGGCTTTTTGTTTTAACTTTATATGGTACAGATGTCAAATCTTGTATCGGAGGATCTCATGCATGCAACAGACAATGCTTGGTATGAAATACCAAACAACAAAACAAAACGCGGTCGCTTCAGGAATTAGTAATCATGCGATCTTAAGAATTACACAAAAATAATAACACAATAAAATCTGCGATTGAAAATGAATATTTGGACTTGATTGCAAATTTATTTTCAATATATACTAAATTTTCTAGCTCCTAAATATGCTAATAGCAAATTTCATGCACTGCACAAACTAAAATAACGGCTGTATTGGGCAACTGTGCACTTGTTCTCAGTCTAAATAATAGTTTAAATACATAGTGTTTTTTGTCACATGCAATCAGCCACTTAACGCACAGAACTGACTGCCCCTGGAGTGAAAAGACATCTATAGAGAGTTGATCTATAGTAGGGCACCCTCTGATCTCAGGCACAGACAGCTGGGGGTCTCCGACTAGTGACGGGTCTTTTCTAGTCAGTGTGCTTTCTGTTGCTAGAGGATGGTGTGTGTACAGCTGTCTGTTTCTGTAGGTGCTGACTGTTTGTGTCCACATCTTAGCCGTACACTACTTGGGCTTCTGTTGCTGATGTTGATGATATAAATATGTCTCGACAGACTAGAGGTGTGAGGTCCTGCATGTTTGTGGGGGGGGGGGCGATGTGCCAGCTGATTCAGAGGGTGCAGCAGTGAGAGAGACTGGCTGAGAGAAGCGGTCCTCGGGTGGCGTGAAGAGAAAACAAACGTCGGAGCGCCGGGCGTCGCAGGGTGGCTGCATCCAAGCCGCATTGCTGCGCCTGCACTCTTTCAACTTACACTTGTGCGGCGTCACCAGCAAATCCAGAGTCTTTTGGGAGAGGTTGGGCCAGATCGCCATCATCTCTTTCCTCAGCTCTGCGTCCATCTGGTGCTTGTCAATACCACCTAGGCATATTCAACGAACACACACATGCATGCATGCACACACGCACACACACGCACGCATGCACGCACAGACAGATACACGGACAAACATGCCCAAACAAGTACATAGACAAACCCAAAGTCAGACATGTGGACATGCATGCACACAAGAGGAACAGTACCATCCAGACAAAAGGTAAGAGGGAGGACACACACATGAAAACAAACAGACAGAAGAAAGTTTCTATTAGTTAGATAACAATAGGAGATACGATCAATTCAACTGTAGAGGACGATGTACGCAGGCTGAGATTCCACAGGACCTCAACCTTCACGCCACACACACTAACAGTAGGAGAAGCATCAGGAGGAGCCGGAGGCCTCTGGGTTCACGGCACAGAGAAAGCAGACGTGTGCTGCACTCGAGGGGGGGGAGAAAACAGAGCCTTTAAAAATGTTTGAATCAAAGGAGGTAAGAGGGATTTCCAAACCTTCCGTACCACCCTTGGCGATCTTGATGTCCAGAGCCGTGCGGATCAAGGCCATGAGGGTGGAGTTGAAGTGGACCGTGTTGTCGTCGGCCACGGGCAGATCCATGCGGAGCAGCCTCTGTGGGAGAGCCAATCGAGGGAGAAGCCGTGAGAGAACTGGGGTGGCGTGTGTGTGTGTGTGTGTGTGTGTGTTTGGAACCTCCAGGTGACAGGAAGGGGGGAAAGGGAGCGAGGAGAAAGAAAGGGGGTTGAGGAGGGTGAAGGAGCTGTGAAGAACATCTGCAGCAGCCAATGACCACGTCCGTCTCTTCCTGTAACACGTTTATACTCGGATGTGGTGTCAAATTGCACATATTTAAATTTTAGTGCTGGATTCAAAGATTTTTAAAGTGTTTTCTGATATGAAAGAGACTGTGAGCACCACGGTGACCGTTAAAGACTAGATCTAGAATCATCCCCACCTTATATACATCCAATCATTTCACTCTCATGTTACGTTTGTATGCGTTTCGATGCCTCACAGGTTTGTTGAATCTGAAAAATTGAACCATTAATGAGAAAACAGGAGGAACAACTGAACCGCAGGTCTGGCTATCCACAGCTCCTCCTAGGGGTTTGGAGGTTCACATTGAAAACAACAGAGACCAGATGACAAACCAATAAACCACAAAATGATCTAAGGAAAGGGAACTTTTGTTTTCGTTCATTGGTTTGATCCTTTTTCTTTGGTCTTGTTGGTTTATATAAGATACACAGACACACACCAACTGACAGATGACGTTCGTGTGCGTGTGGTGACAGAAAACGGCGAAAACCCAGACATGCAGCATATCATGCTTCCCCTCTACATCCTGATTAAATGCCTCTCCTTTAATCCATCTATCAAAACTTTTTTTTTAATCCACACAACCCCCACCCCCCCAAAAACCCTTCTTGCACATCCCACCCTCATGCGGCATGCGATGCGCACACAATAGGCCTCACAGGACAAGCAGCTGCACAGCCGTACACAGAAAGCATCCTCTGTTGACAACATTACAATGAGTTTGTGAGTTGTTTTTTAACGTGACTGTTCTTGGAGGGAAATAAGAAAATCTGTAGACAATGGGGCTATAGGCTGTAACGATAGAGCAACTAGCTCTATCGCTAATCATCTGATGTCTAATGTGTGAGAAATGGGCACACACTCGGAGGTTAATAGGTGAGAGAGAGCAGCATTCTGTGGAAAAAGAAATATGAAGGAGGAACTAAACAATGGCCGCCATGGAAATGTTGTTTTGGTGCATGATTGCAGGCGACCGTAATCCACGTGTGTGTAGGAAATATGTGATGAACATTCTGCCAGAAAATAGATGTAAGAAGAGGTGAAGGAAAAGAGATGATAGAAGAATAAAGATTGATTGTTTATAAGCTCGAGCAGGTAAAGAGAGAAAAAGTGACCAAACTACTAGACGAAAAAAAAGAAAGATAAACACATCACCATACTTAGTTGGCTGTGTCTGTGGATAAAAAAAAGCGATCCTGCCTGTAGGCTCTGCTGTCTCGCCTCAGGACAGAGAAGATTGGAGGTTATAAGCAGTGGAGCTAGACGGACCACTGTTCTGTGGACTGGATGGAAGGTCAAAGGTATAAGAGGCTGGGCTTTCTCTCATTGGTGCTTATGGAAAAATGGACAAGGGAGGTAATAATCATCGAGGAGCAGATAAAGATGCTCGGGAAGGGTTTAGCCAAACACCACGGATGAAAAGCACGTTAGGTTGTTGAGGAGGAGAGATTCACTTTAACTGCAGGGAGGAGGCTTTGGGTAAAACAGTTTGAGGGTAAAATGAAGAAGGTAGAAGAGAGAGAAAGCACCTGATGTAAAGATGGAAGATGGCAGAGGTTGGGGTTAAATACATAAACATGATTTACTAAGAAGGAAACAAAGCTCGAGCTGCAAAACCTGGGTGGAATAGTACCATTAAGCAACCAAGATGGTTTCACCCCTGTCCGTTTGTGTGTTTGTAAGATTATATAAAAACTACGGCTCAGGTTACCATGAAACTTGGTGGAAGGATGTGTCAGGGAAGAACCCATTATATTTTGGAGTGTATCCAGATCAGTCCGCTTTCTTTAACATTGCAAGACAATGGATCTTGATGAAAAAATATCACTATGTGCAATTTGGTGCAGATCCAAATAAATAATCTGAATCAACTTTTAGTGGAGGTTATGAATGGGTAGGAAGACACATAATAAATTGTACTCTTATATAAACCACAACCATATGGAAGCATACTTAGTGTATAATATTAGCACTATTTTCGCAGGTCTGCTGGAGAAGGAGGGAGGATAAAGCAATGGTTGGCGATGGGGTGATCTCCTGTGCCTACAGGCTGTTTGGCCGGCTGCCCCCTGAGGCTCACAGTGATCCGCCAATGATGTCTCGTGATTCTGTCACGCTGATCACAAGAGGAGTTGCAGAAGATCGTGGTAACATGAATCTAAATCTGTTTGTTATCATTCTGTTTAACAATTCTAACAATTTGAGCACGATGAGGTGTGCCATGACAGACAGGGTGTGCGTGTGCAGGTGGTCGTGGTGGTTTACGGTCATGCAGAAGACAGGTGAGGGAGTGTGTAATGTGCGGGGAGGAGAGCGATTTGCAGGAGATGAAGGGGGGCTGGAAACAGAATAGAACTGCATTGACGACAGAACCAAAGGACAAAGAGAAGATTGGACTTGCAGATAGAAAAGGCTGCTCGGGGGAAGGGGAGGGGGGCTTGGAGCTGCTACATGAAGGGTGACAGAAAAAAGAACAGCCTCTGTGTGGCGACCAAAGGCTCTCAGAGGAAAACACATCACTGACACAAGCCCTTCTGCTCTCTCTACCATGAGGAATAACAGAGAAGATCCTAAGTGGAGGTTGATGTGACCTGATTCTGTGTGTGTTTGTGTGGAAATGTGTGCGAGTCCGCCCCCATCCACAGGACGGAACGAGTCAGAGGACGTAAGTCTGGCGGACCTTCCAAGCCCTGCTGCACACGCATGCTTCTAAGAGTGTGTGTCTTCAGCAGCGTCTACATGTGCGATAGATGAATATATTTCTTTTTTTGTACTGAAAATAATTGCTTTAACGTATACACTCACTACAATCACTCTGTTTGCAGAATAATATGAAGCAGTGCTGATTGTAATGTGCATACTTGTCTAAATGAGCTCGTGTCCATCGTATACGGTGCAAACGAGCTGAGAAGGTCCCTCTTTTCGTCCCCTCCTGTGGATACACAACCTGCCCAACCCCTCGTCATAAGTGTCTTGCTACCTGTGCCCACCAATCCCACACCACCACACAACGCCACAACACCGATCAGCCCACCCCCACTTTCCACGAGAAAAGAAACAGAAACAGAGAACCAAATAAACAACGACACTAAAGTTTACAGCACGTTGAGCGCTAATAAGTCCCGGGCCCCTCCCCCAAAAGCCCTCCCTGACACCCATACAAGACTCGGGTGTAGACGGGCTCCTTTCTGACCTTGTAGGCCACCCGTGCTGGACACCTCTTCCCGAGGCCTAGTGGAGGACACATGTGCCTCAGCATGTCATACATTTCCCTGCAACTGATCCTGCCACTGCATCATCGGCCAGTGCCACCAACCCGTTAACAAAAGAACAAAAGAAAAGGGAGAGACAGAGGTGTTGAGAAAGGGAGAAACAAGATGCAGCGAAAGAGAGATGGAGGAGACGAGTGATTAGAGGATAGAGTCAAAAAGAGAGAGGTGGGTCACAAAGTCAGAAATTGAGAGTAGACAAAGGGAGAGAGGGAAAACAAAGCAAAAGAACAAAACAACAGAAAGACAAGGTTATTGGGCTGATTTGGAGAAACTGTGGCCATGTGGCTCCTCTGTGAGCTACAGGACTCTAACACTGTCATGTGAAAAAAAGAGGGGGGGGTAAATGACAAAGGGAAAGGAGACAACAGGAGGAAGATTTGAGAAAAGAAATGTTCTCAAAAGACAATTCTGTTGAAGCAGGACAACAGTATATACGGTGCGTGTGTCCGAGTGTGTGCACAGAGGAGCAGGGCAGATGCCAAGCTACTCCTGCGCAGACGAGGAGAGAGGGGAGGAGGAGGAAGGGGTGTCAATGCAGTTTCTGTCTTTCCCCCAACCCCCAAAAACCAAGAACAATGCAACACTACAGTGGGCAACCATAGCTTGCTATAGTATAGCCATGGCTCCACAGCAAGCAAAATAAAAAGAATATTAAAAATAAAATA